TGGGATTGAAATAGGGAAATACTGACATTTTCTGTGCAACAGAAGTTTCAATCAGGAAATATTATGCTTTTTTTCTGACATTATTTATATAGTGATTTATTTTTTTTACATTCCCACAGTTGAAATATTTTTATTTATTAACAATGAACAAAATATGCTGATCTTTAATGTTCAGTTTTGAATTATTTCATTACTTCCTGACAGCAATTATTTCCTGATAATGAAGTACTGCTCGATGGGAGTTGCAGTTCAGAGGCTTGGCGCATTCACTCGGACCCTCTCCCATTGCCTGATTTACATCTCCTGTAATGCATCATGCAATTTGGTCAGAATGAAATGTGAAATCTTACTGTTTGATGTAGTGATAAGGTAATCTATCTGTACCGTGTAAGAGAGGTTCAGGCGCTGGTTCCCATGAAGCAGCATGCCGCAGCAGGAAAATAGAAGTTTGTGTTCCAGTGTTCAGATGCTCAATGCAATATTGTGGGTCAGCTAAAAAAAATATTTATGTTAAGTATTTATAGGTTGAATACTTCCTCTGAGTTTCCTGGATAGAAGATGGAAAATGTAGGTTGAAAATATAATATAATGTGTATTAAAAATATCTGCCACAGTTTGGAAATGCACTTTCTTTCCCATGCACAAACTGGGGCAGGATCCAGTCTGCCTAAAATCTCTCTTTGCCATAGACTCCATCCTAGCTCACACACTTACCAGGTTTGCCTAACCCTGTAGGTAACTCTTCATTAAATATCTCCTGGTGAGTCTGAGACATCTTTAGGTCCATATCTTGTCTCTCCTAACCCTGTATTGGTGAATCGTTTCAGGGAGACAGGTACTTTTCTCCATCCTAAGCTCTGCTGTAGGCTGGTTTTAGGCAGTCAGTGGATTTCCAGCCAAGTCTGCTGGAGAAGCCTGGAAGATCCAATGTCATCGAGGCTGCTGAAGGCGGTGACTTCTCCTGAAATAGAAGTGGTTGGAGCACTGCCCCGAGAAGGGACAGGTCTCCATGCAGGGCAGCTCCAGGGGGAATGGACCCTGGGCCTCTCACAGCGTGAAAGAGGGACCAGGCTGCCGGGTCGTGGCCAGATAACCCAGTAACTCTTCTGCTGGAGCCACGAGTGCCAGTGTCCTGGGGCCAAAAAACAAATGCAACAGGGAGACTTCTCTAGCCTAGGCTTGTTCAGGTGGCATGGGAGAAAACTCTGCTCATTTCTTCTAGGGACGCTTTGCCTCTTGTGGGGTTTTAATGCAAAAAGCATATGTACTCCAGGAAGGAGGAGTTGTAGCTCATCCTCTGGATGAGCCCAGCTGCTTCCCAGCTCCCGGGGTTGCTGCCCTGCTGTTACACCCGCTTGCGCCTGCTTTGGCCCAGGAGCCTGGCCCTCCTGGCTGGCTGCAGCAATGCCGGCATTACCAGAGACCCCGGTCTTTATGGCATCTCTCGGGGGGGTGGCTGCCCCCCTCCACACACCCCAAGTAGCAGAGCAGGTAACCCATCGCTCCCTGCTTCACCCACGGGTGTTTGTGTCACTGGGTCGGCACCGTTGTCGTAGCCGTCCGGCTGGGCAGGGGAGAGCTGGGCAGCTCTGGATGCCAAGGGGGTTGTCCTCTCTGCAGGCACCGCTCTTCCCTACAGAGCGAGGAGGGGGGAAAGGGATGAGGAAGGCAAGACTCATCCTCCCCAGGTTTTTCAGAGGCGGCAGCCTCTCTCCATGCACTCAGTGGGGGATGTCGCCAACTGGGCTGGACAGCCAGGTACCTGTCCTGCCTGTCTCCAAGACAAGGCAGCTTGAATTTCAGCAAAGTCGTACCGAAATGAGGCAGCTGGCACAGACAGGCTTGACAGCACCCACTGCTTTCTGTCAGATTGTCTTTCTGATGAAAAGATCGTGGTTTCTGGGCAGGGGAAGGAGGGGGGGAAGAACTGCAGGGACAGACTGCCATTCTGCTTTGCAGGACTTTCTTTTTTTTCTGCTCAGCGATATTGCATCAGCAACAAAATAAAAATAATAGGTAGAGAAGGACCCATCCAAAGCTCAGTCATAAAATATCAGGCCACCTTCAGCTCCCAGCTTTAGGACATCAAGTGTGACAGCCCCACAGCATTTGGGCTGTTTGCTTTAGCCTCTCATGGGTGGTTAATACTACCTAACAGAGGAGTAAAAAGTTTAGAATTGTAAAATACTCTTTCCATCCTGGTAGTAATTACCTCTTAGCAATCTTAGTGCTTTGCCAACTCAAAGAGAACTAATCCCCTTCTGTCATAGGAGAGAAAAAAATGTAATAGCTGTGAGAACTGTGGAGCTTATTTCCAAATAGATGCCTCAGCATTTTGATATTTTCTGTGGGATTAACTAGTAACACAGGAAGGCTAATACATATGCAGAGCTTTCATTTGCTTCTGTGACAATTTGCCAGGGGCAAATTGAACTGTGTCATGAGAAATGGTGTTGTTTCCTCCCCTTCCTTGTCAGTTGAAGCAAAAAGACTTGTTAGTAACATAGAAACAATTTGCAACTTATCATCAGTTCAGGGGAAGTTTCTTTTAGCTCCTTGCCTCATATTTCTGCTTTGCTTATGTTTCTGTTTTTCTTACCAAAACAGAAGGGGCTGCCATTTTATAAGCACAGAAGCCACATAGTGAAAGGTGTGAAGGTGTTGCAGTAAAAGCACCTTTGCTAACATAAAATAGATACTGAAGCTCTTTCTGTACTGATCTGTTACGCTTTTCCCTCTTCAGCACAGTTGCTTCTGGCTCAAAAAAAGATTATTTGCGCTGCTGTATGTATAACCCTAGCTCCTAATGATGGTTTTGTGCCATGTTTGGTGGTCTTCTGAGACTGGCTCTGCGAGCATCTGGTGCTGATGGGCACAGGCAGTGATGGCTGCAGAATACTAATAGAGGGGCTGGCTCCCACAAGGCTCCACTTCTGAAAAATGCTTTAGCCATTCACTGTCCGTGCACCATGCTGAGCAACAGGAGGGCAGAAAAGCCATGCTCAGGGATTTTTTTTTCACTGCAGAGCAAGAAGCCGACAGGAACGATGGCTCTTTGCTTCACATTGTTGTGCCCAGGCTTCTTTCAGAGCTGCAGTCATTTATATGCATAAATATCAAGCCTGTCACTTGTTGCAGGCTTTGATAGCATTTGTGTAACAAAGGAAACGGAGGGAGAAAAGCCCTGAACATCTTCTATTCCAGTCTTAGAAAATGAATGAGTGTGTAGCTATGGCAATTACTTTCTTTCTGGTTTTATTAGATCACTGTCCTCTGCAATTTGTTTTCCTTCCTGTCCTGCTGTCCCATGTAAAGGACCACGAGAGGACCTCCCCCCGCACCCCCTTTGTCTTTCTCCCACACTGTGACTATCCACAGGGGATATCTCAAAGAATTACCTACCAGTAACAATTGCCACAGCAAAGCCTCTTGCCATATACTGACACAGTTGGGGTTTTTTTTGCTTCAACTTTTTTCTTCTGTTAACCATGTGACGAAGTCACTCCACCCATTTCATGCAGAGATACAAAAACTCTCTGTATTATTTGGTTTTTTGATTATTTACTTGATTTTTTTATATCTCCCCTAGGCAAAATGCATGCTTGCTATTTGCGCTGCATATCATATCTTTCTGCAGCTTTTAAATTGAGGCTGATAGTATGTTTACCAGTCATCTCTGGAAAGCTATGCCATTGCATCTAGCTTTTCTCTGGGTCTTGCAGCTATTCCGTATTGAAAGACAACTAAAATACACTGCTTGTCTAATACTGCTTTTTCATTAAAGCAATTGCTGAAGTATCACAGGAATGTTATTCTGATGCCAGGAGGGAGGACAGAGAGGTTTGTACTGATTGCCAATAGGAGGGGAAACAGCCTGTGAGACAATCCCCCTATTAAATGTGGTCTGCAGCATGAAAAGCTTGGGAAGCCTTTCTAAGGCTTCACACGTTTAGGCTTTGTGCCTAGGCTTGGGGTCTCAGACATGGAGGTGGTTTCAGAACACTGCACAGGGGGAACCATTTCAGCAAAAATATCCAGATTACCTGGGTAATTTATTAAACTGTCTTGGGTCTCCATTCACATGCATCTTTATTGGCATGCAACTCCAGCAGAACAGAAGGGACAATTTCTGCCCTGCCCTCCAACCAGCCATTGCTCTGCTTCTGAGGTTTCAGGGACAAGAACAGATAGAGCCCCTGTGAGCATTCCCAAGGCTAACTAGAGGTTTCGTTTTTCCCCTGAGTAAGTGTAATTTTTTGTGCTTCCTGCTTTTACCAGTCTTCCCTAATCTTATAAAAACCTTGAAGCAGTAGTATTATAGTCTTGATGGTCTGAAGATATAAACAGCTCAGGATTTGTAGGAACAAGTAATATCTTTTCCTGCAGAAGGACTTGTGTGCCTGAAGGCTTGTCTGTTTTTTTTTCCCAACTGTATCAGTTGGTCTAATAAAAGATATTACCTCTCCCTACAAACTTTGCCTTACTTATTAAAACAGTTGCCTCCAGGACACAGAACACTCTTAACTGGGTGGAAAACTCCAACGTCAAGGTGATAGAGTGGTGTGATTTCCATGCCCCAAGCCAATTGGCACAAATTAAAACAAGGTGGGATGAACACTGTCCACCCTGATCATTCTGCACATCATTAGTGTCCTTTTCAGCCCCACTCTACGTCAGTATTTTTGTCTTTCCTACCTCTCAGCTGTATGGGGCAGCTCTTTTCTAACACAGAAACACACACTGGGTAACGTTTTTTGGATGCTACCTCAGTAGAAACAGCAACTCTTACAATATGCCTAATGAAACTTCTCTGTCTTGTGATTATTTTCTGGGTTGCTCTATCTCTGTACGTTATTTTTAGTTTACTGCAGGTGAGCTTGTGGCACGTGGAAAAAAAAAGCCTGGTGTGACTGAGTAGACTGTTTCTCCTTTAAGGATCACTTAAATGTTGACAACTTTGTTACAAATCTTAAAGGATATTTTTCTTTTTAAACTCTCAGGTGAACTTTCTGTGGAAGGCATACAAGACCCATTCCTTGTTAGTGTACATATTATCACAGACCCAGGTGAATCCAAGACTCTTCAGCAAGCCATCGATAAGCTTCTAGCCTGGATCCATCCAGACCTCCAGCTGTTTCGAGTCTCAGAAAGACGAGTGCCCAAGAAGCGCAGGAAGCCAGGTAAGGCTGGTGTTTCCCAGCCAGCCCTTGCCGTCATTCTGTTTCTGCAGGAGGAATATGGAGAAGAACCAATCTTGCAGCTCCACGAGACTTTTCAGCGGCCGCCTTGGCATTACCACCACACAGAGCAAGTGCATGGGAAGTTCCTCCCTTACATGCCATGCAGCCAGGACTTTTACACTTTGGCTCCAGAGACTCCTCTGTGGGCCATTCGCCCAGTGCACTACGGGAAAGAAATTATCCGCTTCACTATATACTGCAGGAATGAAAACTTTGTTGACATTTTGAAGTTGTACGAGTTAATACTGAAAAGACCAGTATGTCAGAAAAAAACAGACTTTTGTGTTTTTCCTGTCTATTCTAACATGGAAATAGACATTCAGTTTTCTTTAAAAAAACTTCCGAAGGGCCAGGCGCCAATCCCGACAGAGTCAGCAGTGCTGGAGTTCAGAGTAAAAGATGTGGGGCAGCTTGTGCCTCTCTTGCCCAACCCTTGCAGCCCTATCAGTGAAGGCAGGTGGCAGACGGAAGACCATGATGGAAATAGGATCCTTTTGCAGGTAAGTTCAGTACACAGGGAAACAGAAGCACATTTATTGGTTTTGTGCAGGAAAGCTTAACCTGCAGTGGCAGCCAGAAAAGGAGGCTTTTTTTTTTTGCTCTGTCCTAGGAGAAAGAGCCAGGACAGTACCGCTAAAGAAAGACATTGAAGCCCCTTGCTGTGTGTGTAACTAATCAGGAAAGCAGTGGGTGATACTATCCAGATATCAGTCAACCTCAGTTTATGCAAAGAGTGATGTGAGATGAGGTAGCTGTTTAAAAGAATGAGGAGAGAAGGAATTATGAGCCCGAGTGGAGAAATTATGGCTGATGGGTGTAGTTTTATAAGAAATATGGGCACAGAACTGACAGGGGTTTATAAAATAGCTCTCAGTTATGAGATTTTTATGGAAGACAAGCCGAATTCCTGATGGTACTCATTATTTTCTAGCATCCCAGGGTGACAAACTGCATCTCTCTTTTGCACAGATTATCAGGACAGGGAGAGAGGTGGTGAAGGAAAAGAAATGCACCCTGAAGAGCAGCCTAAGAGGGACATTCCCACAGACTCTCTTTTTGACCTAATCTCAAGTGCTCGTAACCAAGTCCTGAAAGAGAGTTTATTTGTTAGGACATTAGAAGGCACCATATCTGGGCAATGTATCAGCATGCTTTGCTTCACTACACCACGTCTGAGGGAGATAAAGGGAATAACAAGCAGCAGCTTTTAATAGCTGCCTGCCCTGCAGAGGGGGTGTCTGTGGCAATCCAGAGCCAGGTTAATGTGCATTCCTGCACTGAGAGGTATTTATTGCTGCTTAGCATTCAAATCTAGGAGCACAGACCATCACCTTTGGAAGACTGTTGTTCAGATTTCAAAGCAGGGCATTTTTTTAGGGCAAATTGCATTCATGAAGCTTGTCAAATTGTCCGACCTTGTTTCTGTGGAAGAGGCATTGTGGGTGCCATCCTTCCACTGTATGGACCTCCCAGCGTGCAGAGAGGTGGGTACACCCCCCTGCAGCACAGTGCCTCTGGGTTTATAGCTCCTGGGACTGAAAATCCAGATACATGGGGCATCTGTGCTCTGGTGAGTCACATCCAGGTGGTGGTGAAACTTTTCGATGCCGCTTTGCAGATGCCACCCACAGAGACACCTCATGCCAGAGCTGAACAGTACACGTGTAGGGCTCAGGAGGCGATTCAGCTTCCCTGCCCATCTGCCGAGACAGTCACCAATTTGTCAGAGTTACTGCTTCCACTGTAGGCATATCTGTGTTAGCCTGAGATAACTTGTAAACTTAAGCTTACAAGAGCCATCAGGAAACTTTTACACAGCAACCACACTCACCTACATCCCCTTTTCCCTGTTCTCTTTCAGGAGGTTTCTGCTATGTGATATAACTTTGGTTTATAGGATCTTGCGCTGGTTTCAAGTAAATTGAAGGGAAGGGTAAAAAAAACCAATAGGGTTTCTAAATAAGGCTTTTGATTTCAAAACAGCAAATTTTTAGAAAAAACAGGTGCCCAGCGGTACAGAGGTAAAGCAAGACTTGCCAAACAGCAGGCTGAGGTAAACCCTGCAAAGAAAATCAGAACAAGATTTTAGCCATATGCACCAAAAGAGAAGAGCAAAAGCCTGCTAAGCATGGCCTCCGAGTGCAATTAATCTTCATTTCTGTTTTCAGTGAGGATGATGATGCTGAACAGGAGGGCAAAATGGCAAATGGGAATGAGGTTACTGAAATGGAAATTATCACACTGGAAGTGTGGTGAAGCAAAAGAAGTTGAATATATGCAAAATGGGGGGAAAATAGAGACTTTGGATCTAACTTAGATGATGGTAAAGTCATGAGACTAGTTCCTGGTATACAGGCTTTAAACAACTCTGTATAATCAGAAGTGGAACTTTATAGCTAAACTAAAGGGAAAATGTCCTGTTTGTACTCAGCTGACTACAAGCCACCAGTGCAACACGGCCATGAAAAGAAAAGTGCAGTTTCCGGTGTGTACCAGCATTAGTATCCCCTAAGGAGTGTGGGAAGTGCTTGTGCCATTGCACAAGGTCCCACAGGCCTCACCAGTCTTCAGCCCTGGGTTCCAGAAAGGTGACTTCAGAGAGGTGTGGGGACAGGTAAGGGCTCTCACCCCATGCAGAGGAATGGAAAGACTGTCTTACAAACGGAAACTGGAAGAGTAGGATCATCTGAGGCTAGCCAAAGTAAGTCTGAAGGGAGCTCTGACTGCACTCAGAAAATGTACCAGAAGGTAAATGGCAGGAGCAGGAAAAGGCTGTTTCACTAAATGACTCTTCTGGCACAGGAACAAAAACCTGTCGATAAATAGATTTAAGTTCACAGTTGTACATATTGATGGCCAGCTACATAACAGCCACCCAGCAGGTGCAAACAGGTTCATACTCTAATTGAAGACAGGACAGTCAGTTAAGGAAAACGGAATATAGGATGGAGCATGGGTTGTAGGAAACACTGGATTTGGTGATCCATGGACTCCTTACATTCTTTTAACTCATACTGAGTTCAAAACAATTATAGTATCTATCTTTTAAAGTAACAGGACTATCTTTTGACTTCTCATGGAGTGCTGCTATTAATATTATCAATGCCACAGCACTGGTTATAACTTTCACTTCTTCCCAGTTATATGATCCCAAACAATGACCTCCTAGTATTTTTCAGCCTGCACATCAGTTGGTACTGAGTTTAATCATCAGAATATTTTTATTTACTTCATATGGATACTGCACTTTTTACAGATTAAAATTACCAGTTATACCCAAAATGGTAGATTGACACCCCTGTTAAATTACAGGCGGTGTTTAATGTTTGAAGTTTGAATATACCTCCATGATTAGACTAACGAGATGTGACCTCTGTGTTTTTCTTGGTGTGCTTACAGGGACTTGGATACTTGCCAGGCAGATTGATCCATGTTCTTAACCCATTTTGCAAATGCAATTACCAAGGGGCTTAGATAAAGTCAGTGCAAGAGAAAATAAAGTTATTCATGGGCAGGATAAGTCTGTTTAATACCACAGAAACTATTCCTTCATTTGCAAGGAAGCCCTTCAAAATTATTTTGTCACAGTAGCTTTTCCACATTGGCAAGTTAGCTCCAAGGGTGCAGCGACATACCAGCTGAGGCAAAGGGTAAGCCTCAGTTGGCTTTAGCAGGAGCAGGAGCAAGGCTTAAGAGCACATTTTCATCCAGTGGGAAGACACCCACACTGCTTCACCAGTGCTAAGCCCAGAAGCAGGAGCTCTGGGGAGCTCTTGTCAAAGCAGTGGGAGGAATATGTAAATAATGTAGCTAAGAATATACCATATACTGGTATACTGAATGTACTGCCAGTTTTATAGGTCTTGTCCAAATTCCTGGCTGCCTCTGGGCATAATCCGTACAGAGACAGCTGAAGTGCTAATGAACTTTCACTCCTGGCAGTGCAACGTGGGAAGCGGGAAAGGTTAATAACTGATGGGACTGGCTCGGCCACGCATGTTTGGGAAGCAGGGCTAGTGAGCAGAGGGAAGAAAGTGCACAGATGGTTTCTTTAAATTATGGGAATGTCTTTGAATAAGGTAGGAAAGGTAAAACAACATTTTGGCAGAATTTTCTAGCTACTCTGCATGAGGGGAGACATACAGGCATACCTGGGAGGAAGGTCGGCAACAGCAAATGAGTATCTCACCTAGGCAGTGACTTGGTGCTTAAGCACAAGACCTACTGCCATTTTACATGCCAAAGGGTACCTGAGCCACCCAGAAGAGGTGTCCTGGCAGGTTAGACTCAGGACCTACGGGAGGGCTGTGCCCTCCTGGAATGCCAGGCAGGGACCCTAGGAGATACCAGAATGGACAAAACACTTCTGTTCAGGCACCTGATTCACACTGTAATAACCAATTTCTTGCTGAAATCCCTCCCCCTCCACCATCTTCAGCACCAAGAAGCAAACAATATTACCAGAAAGCCAAGACAAATAAAAATCCCAAGAAACGTGTGGTTTGTTACCAGTCTATGCTAATTCTGCTTTAAACAAGGTAGTCAGATCTGGCATTGTAAGGCTCTTATGCCAGTTGTGCTGACGAACCTATACTGTTTATGGGGTGGCTATTTTCTGCCTCATGTTGCTTTATAGAGCATCCTTGAAATAACAGTACAAATGTTAACTGATCACAGCTTTTAGTTAGAGGAATTTTTTTAGCTGATTTGCTGAGTTAATCGGCCAATGTTCTTCTTACCTATACTGGGCAACCATAATCTTGAGTTCAGAAGTGGTATAATCATATTTAGGAAACATGGTTTATTATCCGAAGCTTTGGTTCTGAGAGAGGATTGCTTGTAGACTCAGCCATTAAGAATGGTTAACCTGCTGCTGTGCTACCTGCAAGCTCAGGTCTTTGCTACCTTGGAGATTTCTCCATTGCTTGGTGTTCAAAATGAGTACTCTAGATCTATGGTCAGGCAGTAGTCATCCCCTAATGGTTCCGTGAGGTCAGCTGCAGTCATTTATGTACAAGATCAGTATGTTACTGTTGCATACATCCTTGGAGTTGCCAGAAGTCAGTGTGGGGGGTGCAGATGTCTGCCAGCTGCATGCATAAAGGCATTCTGTGCTAGGCATTTGCAGTGCAAAATGCCTGAAGATGGGAAGCAGCATGAAGGTTACATGCCTACACGGGCATTGGCAAATATGTTATAGAGAAAAAAGAATCAAAAGCTTATAGCTAAAAACCTTTTTGTTTATTCAGTGTATTATATACAGGTGTCTGTGAGACTCGTGAACTCTTCTCTTCATCCCCTTTTATCTGGGGCCACAAGGAGAACAAAAGTGCCTTTATTTGCCTCAGCTTATTTAAAACATGTACGTATCTGCGTGAAAAGTCTGGTTGTAGTCAAACCTCATGCTCAAGATACCTGAACACAGTAATCAGGGAGATTTTTCCATGTTGCACAACTGACCCAATGTGTTTTAGGGAGCAGAGACAGTGCCCTCGTACAG